AGATATGTAGAGGTATATCTTAAGTTATGCTCTTAATTTCATTTTTTATGTTAGCCTCTGGATTACGTTGAATATATATTGGTTGAATATATTGGTGTAAATACCTGTTTCTTGGTAATCCAAATTGTTGCAATGACGCAACTAGTTTCGAATTCACAAATACATCATCAGGCGTCCAAGGGATGTCAAAATCACTTCATCAGAAGGCGGTTAATACATATATTGTACATTTATACACAAACATGGTCACGAACAAATTTACGATAAAAAGGTACATTTATATACGAGTGAAAGACTATAAAAATGGTAATAATTGTATAGGGCTTATGCGTCACGACTGGATCGATGAATCGTCTAAACTGCCGGTATAGATGATACATCGATCCGGTCGTGACGCATCATCCCTATACCGTTGTTACCATTTTTATAGTCTTTCACTCATTGTAAATAAATGTACCTTTTTATCAAATCCATGTTCGTGTCCGTGTATAAATGTACAATATATGTAGGCCTACCGATGACCTTCTGATGAAGTGATTTTGACATCCCCTGGACGATTGATGATGACTTAGTGAAGTCGTAACTAGTTGCGTCATTGCAACAATTTGGATTACTAAGAAGCAGGTATTAACACCAATTATTAGGCGTTTTAGTATACCAGGTAATATTATCACTTAGCTACGAGCCATCAGTGTGATCGGCAGAATTCAGACTCTCTCGAGAATAGAATAGATGTTCAAAGTTTTAGCAACAACTGAGCTTATAATCATTAGCTAGTTAATGATGGTGAAATGTGTATTATATAAGTCATAACATTTCACTGGCTGAAATATCTACTGTATTTCAATTATAACAAAAAAATAGTTCAACAAAAAAAAACCATTTTGTAGGTGAAATATTGAAAGAATACATTATTCAATTGTTTTCATAACAAATATCACAAAATGAGTTGTGTAATTTACATGAACAAATCGTTCCCTTCACTTCAATATTAAACTGTGAGATATGCGGTTCAGAATACATAAGCAAGGTTCTACTAAACGTTTACAACTGTACAAATTATTTATGAGAAATAACAAGGCTACAAGAAAGTTAAATACAATATTATGGACTCTTATACCTTCACCTAATCTATCATTTTTGTATGTCTATTTTTAACAGGTTAAAACTTTGAATCCTAATCGCTAAAGCTTAAGTAAATTGTTAGTTTGGTCTATTAGCTATTCGTACATTATAGCTTATCATAGTTCAAATACATTTTTACTAAACTAAACCAAAGATAAAGGCGTTAACGTCCGACGTATATGTTCTTTATAAGAAAAACTTCTCAACGAATCAGGAGCCCAAAACAATTTCAAAGGCACATTACAAGTAACAGGGCTAAATTTAACAGTTTAAATTTTCATATTTTGATTTATAAATGACAATTAGATAATACAGACATAAAAAGCACAAAATACAACTCCACTTACGTTGATTTTTCACATTCACAAGTTCCGTTAAAGCATTTAACATTATCGGTGGCTTAAAGCATTTAAAATTTTCATCGAATCCGGGCACTGAGTTTAACCAAAAATCACAGACAAATTTTCTTTTTACTCCTCGTTTCTCTGGCGGAAACATTCGTTGGGAGAGTAAATATTTACAATCTTAATATTTGAATCGTAAACTTAAAATTAATAAACTTATCAAAACCTAAACAGGCATTTTAACGTGTTAAAGACATTTCATAGGATCTTATCTAACTTAAAACTAAAAAAGCTATTCGATAAATCATACACCAGAATAAACAAATCCCTTACATTAGATCAGTCTTGTAATGTTGGCAGTGTTTCGGTTTTTTGGATATTTTCAAAGGAAATAGAACTCAGATTGCAAAAAATTTAAATTTTTTCAACTCTCTATTTTAGAGATTTTTCCGTTAAAAAAAAAAAAAAAAACTGTAACTAAAACCATGTGCATATCTTAGAAATGTAACAGCTCTCTTGATCGAAGGTATTCACAGCAATCAAATATTGAACACCTGGAAGGCCTACTGTATAAAATTTATTCGACAAAACCTTGTCATAATTATTTTTTCCAGACTATTTTGTGCGGAATAAAGGGAAGGTATCTGCAAAATAGCCCTTGATTGAAAGAAAACTCTTTATCATTCCCTACTGATTTTTGATACTTAAAACCAGTTGTGAGATGAAACCAAAACACTGCCTCGCAACGTAAAAATCCACTAACTCAACCCTCCACCTGGAACCAACGGACCGAAAAACGGGCGAAAGGGCGAGAATAGCACGAATAACAGTGAGATATATTTACAGTGCAACAACATACATCGTGCAAGGCCACGGAAAAGCTAGGAGAAACGTCTATACAACAATACTAAACTAATCTCCCAACCCCTACGTGATAAAATGTAAGCAAAAACATTGATAATAAAATAAAACAAAATTACAACAACAAAGATTTCATCGATCACAACTGGAAACAAACTTTACAAAATTACATAAAGCGACCGAATCTGGTCTATGACCCTATTTACATCTTTTTAAGATTCAAAACTAAACATTTTTATCGGCATAAACGATTTAAAATGCGATTTACGCAGATTGCATCGGCCCGTCGGCAAAGTTTGCCACTCGCTTGGGTTTCATTATTGCGTCAACGCCAAAGGGATGGATTTACTGAACAACGGTAGAAAGTAAAGAAAATTATATAAAAGAAAGAATTATCATTGAAGAAATTAAAGAGAAAACTCTTTGATGGCTTGTTGACCACAATAATGAAAAACCCCAATTCACAATCAAATAATCAATAGAAACAAGATATTGATTGAAAAAAGAACACCAAGTACAAGGATCAGTCTATGTACCTCAACGCTTAGAGGTGCCTAAGCCTAAACTACAATATTCAGTCTTATAGTTGGCTAAATACATGTCAGTTGAGTTAAAATTATGTACTATGGTCCCTTACATATGTATTTTAGGCACACTGAAATTAAAACTAAAAGTAAGCCTGGCTGACAAGTTAATTTGTACTGTAAACAATTGCTCGGTTTAGTAAAACATATTAGTCTTTTTCATGCAAAATTAATATTCGCTAATGGACATGAAATAAATATTCTCATTTATTTAAGTAAATCTGTGGCGAATTATATTATGAAATTTGCTTATAAAGGGATAGAGTTTAGGGAGATCACTAAAAAGTCCAGAGGTTTTAAAATGGCATGAAAATGGTTCTTTAACGTAACCCAGATATTTCGTCTTTGTAGACTTATTTGGAGAGCAAAATCATCAAATACCCTTGCTGAACTGAGAACTTGAATCTTTACTTTTTAAGTCTGAAAATGTTAAAACCCACTTAAGTTTCCTTATCTACTGAGAGGACCTATTTCCTACACAAAACGAGCACGCCCCTTTAGTATAAGTATTGCAATTTTTAAATTTTCAGTAAAACAATATGTACAGCCAGGCTTTAACAAAACTATATGAACACGAAATGTGATAACGTAAAACTCTAGTTCTCCTAACTTTGTATCACATTTTGAGGTAGATAGCTGAAGTTTGAGTATGTACATTGAAATCTATGGTAACATCTTCTGCAGTCTGAGTTTTGATTGTGGTATAAAACAACAAAACAACCAACGGGTGTAACAACAATGAAATACTCTTTGTACATTAAGTCACATGTTTCAAGGGCAATGTATTGAATATATAAAATACGTATTGAATATATATGAGTGTCTAAATGTGTAAAACTTCCAGGAACATTGTATTAACGTTTCAGATATGTTTTTTTCAACTTTATAAAATTATTGTTTTTAATACTGAATGAGAAAAAAATATTGTAAAACACAAATTCAAAACAATACCCTGAAAATCAAACTGATATGCAAACGGAGCATGAGGCATGGCGTATAACAAAAAATAAAATCAACAAAACTGTATAAAAACTGTAACAAATATATCATTTGATAAAAATCTTCAAAAACTAACACAATTGCAATCTTGCAGTCTTAATTAGATAGGCAGTCTTATGTTGAGATGCGGCGTTCTTGTCGGTACAATTTTGGCGAAGCGCATTTCCAAAACATCAGAGGATGAAAAAGGACAATAGGTTTAAGACTTGTTTGTATGGAAATAAAGATAATTTAGATAACTTAATATTTCTTTCAAAAATATCTTCAGCATGCAAAATACAAATAAATGCTGTTCATTTTTCACGTAACGAGTCGAAAGAATTTGACTTTGCATAATAGTGGAGAAAAGTGTTAACAGTTTGTGTAGTACTGTATTAGAAAGAGAGTTGAGTTGAAAATGGAGGGAAAAAATTTACTTTCTGTTTACTAGAAGTATACACTTTGGCTCGTTTGGCAAAAACAATTCATTAAAAATCATGCTAAAACATAGTAATTTAAAAACAACCTAGAAATGAAAATTTTAATTCTTATTTACCAGTTTTAATTTTAATTAAAAAACAAAACAACAATACAATTAAATAACAAAAGTATGAATTCATTCAAAACAACACAATTTAGTAAAATTAAAGCTTTTCCGACTTTAAAGCTTGCGTCAATGGAAAGTTTACAAGGAAACAAAATGTTTTGAAAATGTCCGCTTCGACGATCGACAATTGCACAATACCGACAATAAGGCATTGAGCTATTACACCACAAGGGTAATTACAAATACTACAACTAATAATCTTGTTCCTTTAAATAGATCAATGAGTGTTGAAAGTTGGCGCTGTGAAAAAAAAAGCTGTAATTTGAACTGACAATTTTTATGCCGAAACACCGTATGAATAGTTCGCTAATTTTTGATAGTATGATCATTTTCTTTATAAGTGCAACTTTCTTTCCTTGCAATCCAAAAGTATGTGTGTCTTATATGTTTATCAAAATATGATTGATTTCAAATAATTTTGAACACACTGATGAATCCTAAACCTTTTTACGGTTTGGGAAGCAACAAAACCCTTGGATTGTGTGGTAAGAATGCACTGTGAATAGTTAAAAATAAAATTTAAGTTTAAAAATATTTTTTCCGCACCAAACTTTCAACACTTGTTGAATGTGAACACTTAGTCTCTAGCGTCCGAGTGAGAGTCGGAGCCAGTTGTGAGCATCGCGGTGGCGGTGGCTTGGCTCATAGGGGGCATGATGACTCTAGAAGGCGGTTCAGGTTTCCGACCCATCGACAGGTCTTCTACTCGGTCCTCGTCTTGCTCTGCCGGTGGCGCTGGCGGAGGGGGAGGGGAAGGAGTCATACTGTTCCGATGAGCGTAACGTATCAATGTAGGACTAGGAGACCTACCGTTGTTCCCCGGGCTTGACGAATGATTACTTACGTTACTCTGCGTATTCATCGTTGCCGTTGCCTCTCTGTCCGGTTCGTTCGGTCTTTCGTATTTGGGTTCGAGCGCGTGATGCAGAAAGCTATGTTCCATGTTGCCGTAGTTGCTGCCGTTATTTCCTGTGCTGTTTTCCTCTTCTCCTCCGCCAAACATCATTCCGCTGCTGCCGAGTCCGTAGGGAAAGCCGGGTCCGCCGTTGCCGATGGAACTTCTTCTGAAGGGTCTGCCTGTCGTGATTCCGAGTTTCTTTACCTTGTCGTATAGAGTTCTAGAAGGCACTCCGTATTTCCTGGCCGCTTGAAGAGCGCTCATTCCTGAACGGACGGCTTCGATCGCTGACATAATATCGTTCCGGGTGTACTGCTTGTATCGCTTCCATTCTGGCTTTTGGGTCGGCACGTAAGTAACAAGGGCGGATGAGACTCCTCCTACTCCTGGAAAAATAAGTTTGTAAGGATCACTACAATTTAAAAATATAAAGCACACTTTAACTCTATTCTATTTTCAAGGAGTCTAAGAAGAAAATTTTTCTGAAGCTGGTTTTTATATTGTGATTTTTAAAGACTTGCTAATTGTATAGTTATGTAAAAAGAATCTAAGTTTTTATGGTGATAAGGTGATAATGATATATTACCTTTGCTTTCTCCATATCCAGATTGTGGCGATGAATAGGGCATCTTGTTTGCCTGAAAAATCAATCACTTGTAAACCAGGGTAATAATATCTAACAAACTTACAATGTGACTTAATTAAACAAGTTTACATTACGAATAAAATAAACCAGATTATAAGATCTTTAACTACAATACTATCAGGGTCTTCGCTATAGTTTATTTCATGTAAAGATTACTCATTTTGCAAGCAAAAACGTAATGCAGATTTGTAGCGTCCACCGCTAGAAGTGCTAAGTAGTTGCTTAGCGCATGCGCCTTAACTACACGGCACTCTCAGCTGTGGACGCCAGAACATATGCTAACCGCAGCACTGCTGTCGATCTATATTTAATTATATTTGTCTATGATAAAATCCTTATATCAAAGCATACTAAATCTAACTTACTCGTTCAGGGTCGTCTTCCATAAATGAAATGTCCGTGTAGGGAGATGGTGCGTCTTCAGATGGTTCCGTTTTCATGCTCTAAAACATTTCATAAATCATTATATGCTAAAAAATAACTTCTAGGAAGCACTAGGCAAAAAATTATGGACATAGTTGCCAAATACAGTAATATCATGCTAGAGAGCTAAAATTTTATTTCAAGAGTAGTCAAAACCCATTCCTGGAACCACACATTTGCTCGATGACTCACAAACGTTAACGTTCAAAGTCGTAGACACAAACAAAACCTTAAGCCTTCCAGATATGTAGATTAACACTATCAAAGGACACTTTAATAGATTTGTTATTGAGTTTATCAATGATTCAACATGGCAAGATGAGTTGGTATAAGAGATAAGAAGCTTTAAAAGGAGGAGTGATTAAAGGAGCGTGTGCTAGGACAATTTGTTTTTCCAGATTAGAATATTTGCCTAGATAAAACTGAACGAATTTTGCAAGTTAGAGGAAGCCCAGCCAAATTATTTTCAGTAACTTATTAGTTCATTTGAATGGCTCTGGAGAGTTCCATCAGTAAAAATTGGGGCACAAAATTTAGGTATGATTTTAGAAAAGATAAACTGAACAATCTATTATTTTGATAAAATAAATCAGTTTAAAAAGAATTTGACTGTGGGTTTTAATCAGATTGATTGTTGATGCTTGAACCCAGTGTTGAAAATATCAATAATTATTGTACTAATACAAGACTCGTATTCAAGTACTGTACTATATATTGCTATTTAGAAACTGAAATACACTTGATAAGGGAAATTGCAAATTGTTAAATTATTGAAAGATTCTTGTTAAAAGAGGTACACTTTTTTAGACGCTATTGTTTGTATATATTTTTTTACTGTAAAGGCATGTCAGAGGCATATGATTAAGGAAAAGATAGATTCAAGATCATATGAAAGACAAATAATATGTTATTTACTGTTGGTAAAAAATAGGATTTCAAGTATTTTGATGAAAAAAAATAATTCTGTCTTCAACACATTAGAAAAAATATCCCTATAATCATCTTCAGATTGCTTTTTCCTCTACACAATAAGGTGATAAAATAATTCTCAATTGTAAATTTGCTTAATCTCTTCTAGGAAATCAGAAAGAAAATTTCCCGCCGTCAGTTATGTTTGTTTTCACAAGAACAAACATTGATAAAACTTGGTGGAATTATGAATAGGGTCAAATTTCACTGGTGGGTCAATACGTGATAGCGTGCATATTTGTGCATTGCGTACTTCCGTGGCAATATTTGCTGTCGTTTGGCCGAGATAGCGAGCGTAGAAAACAACTTTCACTGCGACTATAAAGAAATCAAAAACTGGGAATGATTGCATCAAAGACTGTAGAATAACAACGGTGTTTACGACAGATTAACTGATGGTGAAAGAAATTAACTCGATCAACTGGATGATAATTTTGTGGAAGGTGATTGAGAATAATTTTGTCAGTAAAATCATTCGTATTGGTAGTTTTTAATTTTTTAATAATCGTACAAACAAATTTTTCTTCAAGATAGATGGATTCATTTTCTGAAGGTTTGCTTGTCCTATTCCAATCATGCTACCTTTTTAAAAGTTGACTTTGGGTGGTTCCTTTACAAAACACTTTAAAAAATTCCAATGGTGTAAAAGTACACTAAAAAAATTCCAATAAATTGCACTATCACTTTATTTTTAATACTAAATGCAAAACACTTTACTTTTATTTGTGTCTTCAACCCTCGAAATTACATGTTGGAAATACAGATTCGAAATTACCCCTTAGTGATGAAAATCTGATGATTATTTGTTCATATTCACAAAAACCTCAATAATCTAGGATGGATCCGTTTTTTTAACCCAGACATTATCATCTGAATCAAATGACTTAACGAACCTTGTCCGAGTCGCGAGGAGATCCGTTAGTGTTGCGTTCGTGGCTATCCGGGTGACACACCAATGGCATCGGTTGGCTCGAGTCCGCTTGTCCTTGTCCCAATACAGTCCTCAGAATCGGAGTGTCGCCTCGGTTCATCAGCAGGGAGGAGAGCTTCTTACGACGCAACGGTGGCAAGTCCGTCCCTGCCATGGCTGCCTCGTAACAGCTGTTCAGATGGTGAGTGGGTGGCGGGGCAGGGATCGGCATCCCCGGCATTCCCCACATTGGAGGAAGAGAGATTCGACCACCGCCTCCACCTCGCTCGACAGCTGGTGACTTGCCGTAGAGGTACGGGTACTTGGGGAATCCTTGGTTGTGAATACCTGTCAAGAAGAAAGACATTTAAATTTTTAATGTGATAAAGCCCCAGATCAGTGAGTTTAAGCTGAATGGTTTTAAAAACCTTGCTCCGTCAAGTGTTCCAATGTTAGTAGCACACTACCATAGTTTCAGGCTACTAGAGTCCATTTAAGTGTCACGATACACATCATCAGAAGTGAAGAGTATGGTGTGAAATTTTCTTTTGTCTACAATAAATTATTTTAGCGTTCCTCTCAGAGAAGACTCTTTCGCATTCAATGCCTGCTATCCTTACAAAAATCCTTAAACCGTAGGTCCTTGTTATGTTACAATATTAATCTCAAATATAAATTCAAATTGATGTAGCTCGACTCACCTGTAGAGTGAGGTGGGGAAGAGTCGTTCACGCTGCTACTATGTGGCATCGGCGGAGGAGCCGTGGGGGAAGATGTGGTGATCATGTTGGGATCTTCTTCTACTGGCGGTTTGGCTCCGTTCTCCTCCACCAACCCTTTCACTTTCAGCGCTTCCGCCACCTTGAGCAGGGGTGCCAACTGATCCTGCCCGACGTTCACCTCCCCTCGGTACATGTACTCCAGGATAGCCTTGATCTCCGAGTACTTCACGTCCTGGAGTCAAAGATTTGGATCAGGAAGGATTTCAAATGATTTTGTGACAGGTTCAATGTGTCATTTTGAATATGACAGTCAGCTGTGTTTTTCAACAGACTTTAATCTTAGAAAAGGTTGAGGTAACAGTTTAGCATGCAGAAAAAGTTAAAAGACGGAATATAAATGGGAAAGCAAAATTAGGCAGCGTTAAGAGAGACCGGGAGAGTTACTACTATAGACAACAGAGAAATGTAATAGAAAATAAGAGCAATTGGGCATTTAAGGATTTTAATTAAAGAATGAAGAAGCTGATTAAAAATCAAGAGGAAGAAGACGTTTTAAAAGAATCCATACAAATATTAAATGGATAAATAGGAATTACAGAGGAATCAGGGATAAAAGATGTTAAGGAGGAAGAAGGCCTCAAATTACATAAGGACAACAGACAAAACGATCAACGTGAAAATCCATACCTTCAGGATAACCACCGGATGACGGCACGGCAGATCCGTGAACAACCCTTGAAAGTAACTTGAGCACGCAGCGAGCACCATCTTGTGGCATTTGACAGAAGTGCCTCCCTCGCACGCCAGCGTGACGTCCGTGAACGCCTCGTTCTGCAGCAGCTGATCGAACACATTAAGCAAGTTGCTGCGGTGGTTGTTCCACCGCAGACAGTATTGTTGGGGCGTCGCCATTTGTATCGTTGTGTTTTCTACTTTACTAGTCAGTCTTATGTTTCCCTCGTAGTGCCCTCCACGGTCTGAAACAAAATGTTTTGATTTGAATACATTAAATAGAATACTCTTAAATCGCTAAGATCAATCATTTTATGCTCCTTTAGGAAAATGGTTTGTCATGATGGCTGTGTTGTTGAACTTGATATTTTGGATGCATCACAGCAATCTTTGGGCAAGCAACATTCGAGGTTAGCTTAATTGTTAGCTTGCCCCCAAAGATCTAACACATCGAAAACAGTGCTTAACGGTTTGCCTATGCATAAATGCAGTCATCTGCCGAAGACCATGATATGACTTATACTAGGCAAGCTTCTCTTTTAAAATAGGAAGCTTGGAAAAATGTCTAACCCTGACAGTTTAATTACCGGTAGTTCATTTTATACCTGCAAAATTAACTCATTGGGTAATTGTCATTTTTCTTTTGTGTCATTGGAAAGCAATGCGCACATGAAAATATTTATCTTGCGAAATACCTAATCCCATCCATTTTTTCAATCAGTTTGGACCAAACTGACATATTTTCACTGTTATTATTCAATTTAATTACAACATTGGTTTTTAATCTACAGTGTTCATCTTCCTACTACACAAAACAGGCAGGACCCATGAGCAAAGGACCAAGGACTTGGTATGCCATCAGCAGGGTTGCTAAGTGGGTCTTCTTACTCATGCCAACTCATTAAGGACATGCATATGCATATGGTGATACATATGGATGACTTGCACATGCCTTGGTCCTTATATGAACACTATAAGGAAAATTGTATACTGTACGGTATTCTTTGATTGAGAGATTGTTGGTTCGTTGGTTGAAGATGCTGACTGTTTGTCTACACAAAATAATAAGCCCTAGTTATTCACTGTAGAGTAGACAGGTTTAGATTTTTGAAATGCACAACCCAATTTGCAAAAGTGGAATGTTAAAGACACAATGGATTGAACCTTTAATAGCCATAATTCATAATTGTAGCATAGAAACTGAATTATGTTATGCCTATAGAACCCATAAAGTTGTGCTTCTTGTTTCCAACAGCCAACTTTGTTTACATGAATGGTCCATTTAATATTTCCTGACCTACAATATTTTGATTCTTCACGAAATGATTATAGACTCTTGATCAGGTTCTTCAGTAGTAAATTCTATGGGAGAGGAAAAGTGTTGATTACCTAACCTATTTATTGTGTAATTGAGTAGGATGGTGAGAGGTGACAGTTGACAGTAGGCTTTTGTTTATCATTTAGATTTTCCTGTTCAACACCATTGTTACCAACATTAAAACAACTACAAGATTCTTTGCAGTATACTATACAAAGTGTCAACAACCAAGTCAACATTTGACTTCAATATTTTGTTTCTTCACCAGTTCAGCCAACATTGAAACATGAATTATTACTACATACTATAAAAAGTGTTTTTGCCTTACTATGACTAACAATTTAGACTAACGGTTTCTTTCACTGCTTTGTGGGTATATTTTGTTAATCAAAGATTATACATTAATTGACCACTTAAGGGTGTAGCAGTGGGTGACCACTGTCAAAGCACTAAAACTTTACCCAACAACCAACATTGAAACCAAAAGTCTCGAAGGACCAAAAAAGCTGACCACTTACTAAAACCCTCCCGCCCACTATGTGAATTCCCACTTTCGTTCGTGGGACTTTCGAGGATGATTGACTATAAATTAATTGACAACAGAGGGTGGGTGACCTCAGTTGAGTACAACAAAAACCCAGGATCAATCGGTCTGGTGACGTAACCGCGCGGGGAGGCAAGGCACGCCTATTTTGAAGGTCACCACTGTGTGGGGTAGACGGCTCTCAGACAACCCCCCACGGCCCCCACCCACCCCCGGCCATGCGACGTTGCCAAGTCTCTCCGCAGGTTGCGATACGATAACACCTGACCGCTAATTCCGACTCCGGAAACCGATAAGGATTTTCTCACGGGTAGAATTATTTTGTTCAGTGAATGTCATGATGTAGAGTTGTCTGGTGACTACGGAGTGTTTGAAAAATGCTGTTTGGGTAAAGAGATAGCGTGAGAAATTAAAATTCACCCTGTAAAATAATTTGAGTTTTCGGAGTTTGAATGTGTAAAATCATCAACAGTCGTGCAAGGATTGTCAAAGTCAGCGTCCTCGCTTAGGACGTTAATCCTCTCAAAATGTTACAGCAATCCAATATATTTTTTGACACGCCAGACAAACCTCCATTGGTGAAGTACACAAATTAATAACTACGATTTAATCATAAGGATTCCAAAAATCCTTTTACTTTCAAAAACAGTTCGACAAAATTACTAGTGGAACCTCAATAACAAGACCCTCGGTAACAAGTCACCCTTGATTACAAGAGTCGTTTTCAAATCCTTTGAATGTATTACCCCTTATCACATGTTACCGCGAACCTCGATAAGGAGTCAACCTTGATACGTCATTTATTATCCCCACTAGAGTCTTGTTATCGAGGTTCTACATAAGTGAACCAAGTGTTCATTGTTCAAGTGGTACGGGCACGTTAAATTAATTTAATTTGCATACCATCTCAGTTTACGTACAATTTTCTACAAATAAAAAAGTGGTGTAATTTCCATATATCAGATTTTTTTCGAACAGGTGTTAAAGGACAAAAAGTAGTGCATCGCCCGTAGCGGCGGGACGGGCTGACGCTAGGTTATGTTAGATGTTAGATGCTAGATTCCCTATCCCTAGACGGGACATTAACCCTAGCCAGTTAGCAACCCCCCTCCCCCTCCCCCCGCGGGCGCGACCCTATTTGCATTCCACGCGGCACTACTTTTTTACATCCGCCGCGCCGCGTTGCGTTGGTAGCACTGCGTGTAGACGACTAAAAATACTACGCTCACCCTCCACCATGCACTATGTCCCGTTCGGCGAATTTCATAAAAATTTGGAAATAGTTGATCCGATTTTGGGATAATGTGGGATTGAAACAAGTTTTGATGCTGGTTTAATGCGCTTTTGTATTAGTTTATTGTTCAAATTGAAAAAGTAATATATATATATATATGGGTTTGAAGATTGAATACAAATTTGAATATTATTGCATTGTGATTTTTTAGACATGTTTTGTATGGGAACTTTTCTTCTAACTACTTGCCTGAAGTTTTGAGTATTGGAGCGAATTCAACAAACGCATTGTTTATTTTTGATCTTAGAAGTTTTTCAAATAAACCGTTTTGTTCAATGCGATTCTAGTATTGGGTGAATTCAGTCGACAGCGCGTTACCCTTTTTTTCGAAGTTCATAGAGGAACTGACTTGTTCAAAGCTTAAAAACCAATAATTCAAACGTGCTTCATACTACACATAATTGTAATAAAAGTAGACTCAGCATAACAAAATACAATGAGCAAAGTACAGTTGTAGCATAGTTTTACACATCTTTTCGGGTTCCTAAGACGGTCTAAACAATGATTAACTTATCTTGCAGATATAAAAATGTTCCCAACCTCTTCTTTTGGACCTTAGACCTAACCGCAGATGTTTCGCAGAAGAAAGGCAAAGAAACTACTAAACGAGTTTAGTTTCTATAGAAAAATAGGTCGCTCAACTCTGCGATGTAGAATTTTTATCACCAAATAAAAGAGCGGGCGTGTTTTTGTGGGGTAGAAACACTTCAGCATCCACAGCACCCCTATAAATCCACCCTTCATTAAAATTTAGTGTCTAACCTAAAACCTTAACCCCAGGTCAAGATCGACTATCGACTCTGAGTAGTCGCGATAATCGATAAACTCAACCGATTAAACGTAAAATATCGTTTACAGAGGCTGTACGAAGAGTGCCTATACGATGATTAACAGTAGTCGAGTGGAAGCATGGATAAAACATACCAGGAAGCATGGATAAAACATACCATCTTAAAGTGTTAGTAGGTCCATGGTGAAATTGTGGTCGATGTTACGCCATGAAATTACGGAAAGTAAATAAGAATACGTCTACTGACCCTTGAAACAATATTTACACTTACTGTAGACTTACAAGATGGTAAATACATATAAAAGATAGGTGGTGATCGATTTCGATTGGACACCCCAATCATCAGACCCAATTTGCCCATACGTTGATGATGATTGAAATGTCCAATCGAAATCAATCACCATTTACAATCTTTTATATGTATTTACCGACTTGTGAGTCAACAATATAAGTCCATTTCAAGCTTCTCTAAATTTACAGCAAAATCTGAACATAATTACTGATTGGTTTAAGACATGGAGGTTCAAAATTAATGAAACTAAATCTGTCCACATTACTTTTACTCTAAATCAAAATTCTTGTCCTCCTGTCACAATAAACAACACCCAACTTCCCGAAGTAACTGAGGTTAAATACTTAGGTATCCATTTAGATAGGAAGTTAACTTGGAAAACACACATTTGGAGAAAACGGCAACAACTAAATTTAAAATCTAATCAGTTAAATTGGCTCATCGGAAGAAAATCAAAACTTAGTCTAGAAAATAAATGATTACTATATAAAACTATATTGAAACCAATCTGGACATATGGAGTGCAACTATGGGGCTCAGCGAGTACTTCTAATATAGAAATTCTCGAAAGATACCAATCGACAATGCTGAGGAAGATAACAAATGCACCATGGTATGTCAGCAATAGGACACTACATCAAGACCTTAAGATGCCTACAGTTAAGGACGAAATCATGACCATAAGTGAACGATATATTACGAAATTGGAATCTCATCAAAATCATTTAGCTCTTAACTTATTAAACAACGTGGATACAATTTACAGACTTAAGAGGCCATCAATTCTCGACCTGCCCTACAGATTTTTGTAAAGTGTTTTTATTGAAAAATTTGTTGTTGAGAGTGCTTAACAGCTATTTTTAATGTTCCAAAGTCAATTTTTCGTATTACATAGTATATAGTATTTACTTATTGTTCAATATATAGGTAATAGAACAGATTGTAAAGTAAATAAATAAATAAAAAAAAAAATAAAAAAAAAAACAATATAAGTGTAAATATTGTGT